CTTCTTTTGATATAGGTTTAAATTATGAGAATCTTGCATCTTTCCAGGCGGCTTTCTGTACCAGTTTAACAAAACCTTCCACTTCAGGATTTAGTGGATCTCAAGTCAGCAATTCAGCATTCAGATTAATATTTCTAGTAACGTTATGTTTGAAGCCTACTCAATCTGTAGCTTTGTTGAATAAAGTGGGCGCGCTCCGTTTGTTTTTCTCACTAAGAGTTAATATGAGAGCAGTGTGACCGGAATTTAAATTAAAATCATCTTCCAAGTTCAAAAAATTGGTGAAACCAGACTGATAGGAACATCGTAATCTTGAATGGCTTTCCTTACTTCTCTTCCACTAGTTGACGTGAATCTACCCATATATTTGACATTTTAGTCACTTCCCAGTAAGAATCTATTTGCCCCCGCATATAGGGTATCCTTTAAATATCTTCTTTAAGTTGCATGTTGGTGGACAACATTTAAGTTCTGCTTGATGGACTCAATTTTAATCATAGCAAGTTCAATCTTCTTCGTCTCTATTTTGTATTCTTCATTATGCTTTATGGTTTCCCTAATTAAAATAGTTGTGCTGCCTCAAAGCATTTGTAACCCATTCCATCTAAATCCTTTCCAAAGTGTGTTTCTGACAACAATAATATTGATCTTTTTAGCTCTAAGAAAAACCTGCAACTCGTGCTTTCTACTTGGAACGACATTAGCGTTCTACGCACTAATTCGTACTTTATTTGCTGACACTTTTCAAAAATCGCTTCAGGTTAGTATATCTTTTTTCAATAATAACTAATCTTAACTTGAGATTTCGTCAATTATTTGTAGTATGTCTTGCATCATTTCTATTATGCTACTGTCAATTTCTTTAAGTATGTGCATTGTATTATTGTGTACTTCTTTAGTTTTCATGCCTTTCTTAGGCCATTTACATCTAAAATCTTCTGTAATTTTGGAAGCTTTTTGTGAGTTATATACCCAACTTGTTTAATGTAAAAGCATTAAACGTTCCGTGGTTTCCCAGGACCCGTTTAAGCCGATTCCTTTTCATTTTCGTTTTTTCTAATTCCTTAGCCATTAGAAAGTCTTGACTTTAGCTTTATTTATGTCATCTGCGCATTTGAATCACCTTCGGCTAAGTTTACACTTAATATTCCGAAGCTCACATGATGGATATAGGTTTCTGACCATTACTTTAATTGGTCAATTTATTTTCATAAATATGACATTATAATTTGGTTTTACTAACAACTTAATTGACTGTAATTATTTTCATTTTCAACATCTATTTTTAGTTGACCATTGTTCATTATTTCTTTCATTGTCCATTGTTCTTTTACATCACTACTTGCCTCTTTGCAGATCCTTATGAATTGTGTGTAATGTTAGCTCACTATTACCGGCGGAGGTTTATGTTTTTTAAGTTGAGCATTTTTCCTTGGTGGGGATTTCTCTACTTTAGCGCTTTTAATTTCTAATACCGGTTCTATTTCTACTGAACATTTAGCTTTTCTCTTCTTTTAATATCCTTTGGTTCTAAGAATTCAATCGGCTTCTCTAGCTAACTCTTCCTCATCTGTTTCGTACACAACCACACCTATTTTGTCATTTTCGATGCCAGTCGAAACTGCATTCTGCTGTCTCAATAATTTTTTGAATTGAGTTTGCAAATTTCTTCTTCTAACTCTTTACACAGGTTTTTCTAATCTCTTAGGCGCGTATCAATCATTGATTTGCTTTCCTGATGAAACGGGGTTTTTACAACGCCTTCAGAGTTTTCGCTTTCATTGTCTTCTTTAGACTTCCTTTTACTATAACCTTATATGATTTTCCTTCTAACTTCCCATATCTTACAACCCTTGAGCTCTTGTCAAACGGATTCATTAATTTCGCTCTTTTCCCATTGGCAACTTTTTTGAACGGCTCGAACATTATGAAGAGAAAAAGGAGAAATAACCAACTAATTTACTTGAAATTTAATATTTGAATTTGAAGATTGTTGAAACCAACGACGAAGGAGCATCTTTGTTTTTATCTCGCTTACACTTGAAAAACAACATAGTGAAAAAACTTCAGTTACATAAGTCTCTTTCTTTGCTCCGATCAAACTGAAATTAACATTAAAATGTTGTTCTTTTTTTCGTAGAAAATTACGCGCCGCCATACAAAAAATAAACAAACGAAATTTTGTTTTTTTTATTTATAAAATTAGTGTAGTTTATAAATAAAAAAAACTTAAAATATTAAATAATAAATCTTAAAAAAAGAATATTATTTTATAAAATCCTATACAACAATTATAACAAGTGAAAAAAAGAGAAAAATTTGTTGAAAAAAAAGGTGTATAGTTTTAAATTGGTATTTCCATTTGCAAAAACAATTACTTTTTTACACCATATGCATTTGAATATTATTCATTTCAATAATTAAAAGAAATATTAATTCAATAGTACTTTGATTAATTCATAATTTCTAATTTTATTAAGTTTTTAATTTTGTAAAGAAAACATACATATGTTTTTGTTTTGTTTTAAATTAAAATTACTTCGGATACCATCATTTTACTAGTCTGATAAAATGTAGCATACAAACAAATATTTTAAATGATTTTTTCTATAAGCTGTAACTTTCCTAGAAATGAAGAAATGGTAAGTAAAATAAAATATTACCGTGAATTATTTGCATTTAAAAATATTTTGTTTTAGAATGTATTAGCAACATACCATCTACTTTAGTGAGCAATAATTATCATATTAATTAAAGTTTTTTAAAAATTATACTATTTTAGAGTCATTAAGATTTATATGTATTTATATTTACTGTTATTAGTATTGTTTAGAGTTGTTCAGTAAAATTATCAAACAAAACTAATAATATAAGAAATTTTTTAACAAATTTATTCATTTTCGTGGGTCACAAAATATTGTAATATTAAAATACTTACAAATATTTGCAATTTAGAAAATAAATTTATTCAAAGAGGAAAAAAAATATAATGAGTTTTTCGGAAGTAACTAGTAAATTTTTCGGGAAATTTTAAGAACCAAAATTACGTCGTCAAGGTATGTAAACTAAAAGCTTGCCAGTGTTCTTAAAATTTGAAAAAAGCTTTAAAAATGCAATTTAATAAGATTGTTCAACATTTTTCCTAAATTATACAATGCGCCTGATGAGCTGATTTTTATATTTTCAATTTATATTTGTACACGGAATGCTATGCTCGGACTCGCAAAAATATAATTTTTTTGATAAACGAATCATGAAGCACTGATCTGTATACATCGTTGACCTTTACAAAAGTGTGGAGACCGTTGTTATATACAGAGATTATGAATTATGTATTATTTTGCACTTGCTGTGTTACATACAATGGGAAAGCTTTGTGATAGCATTAAACTTCCCATGCGGCAAAAACAAAATTTTCAAGAAAATAAGCTCTGTTTGCTAACGAAAAATTTTACTTTTTTTGCATTCTACATTTTAGTGATTTACCAGCAATCGACATCTTCTGTTTTGGTGAAGTCTTCTTTCATTACATTTTTATCTCAAAAAATTGTTTTAAAAAAAAACTCACAAAATTTTTGTTTTTTACTTTTTGTACCAGCGTTCATGATTTTATTTTGTAGATTACTTTTCTGGCAATGATCGGCGATTTTCTTTGGCTTCACTGAATACTTTTTTCAATATTCGATTTTCGAGAGTACAGGTGAGGTAGAAAAAATTATCTTCCCTTAAAATTTCTAATTCGTTAAAGCTAGTAGACCAACTAATGTACAAACAATATAAAAAAAACATAAATAAAATAATCGTTGATACAAGCCCAAAAAACCGATTGAAAAGCAAAAATTGATTTTCCTTAGGTTTATCTTACTGTTTTTCTTGTCTGGTGGTCGGTATGACGTAAGGGCCTGAGTTTTTTTTTAATTTTGGTATTTTTAAGTTGTGCTCGTAATTTTATTTAACTTGCCTTTTCTATTTCCTCTAATAATCTGCATATTGTCCTCCTCTCCTATAAATGACAAAACTTAGTAAGTAACACTTGCATAGTTGCGACTAAATCATGTTTTTAGCAATTAATATTTGCTTTGATATTTGATACAAAAAAAAATCTGATGTCATCAGCACATACAGAAAGTGATACAGAATATTATAAAAATGCCTGTTAAACACTTCTTTCCAATTTTTAGGGCATTAACAAACTTATACTTAACATACCTCGTTAAATGTAAATTTGGCTCATAATAGAGTTTCGCTTTATGCTACCCGAATTCCCTGAAATGGTCGCCAGTTAGTTTCAGTAAAAACCAGAACTCAAATATCAAATTTCAAGAAACTTCACCAATTCGTTCCGTAGATATGATAAAAAATGTAAAGTCGGCCCGCAGATCAGTTTTCGAGCCCTGATCTTTCCAAAAAATTTATATGTTCATTGTTTTAGTACGAAGAATTTAAATATTAAATTTCAATGGAATCGGTTAATCATTTCTCTTTCTATACGCAAAAATGTATATTTGTGCCATGGTAAACGTCTAGTTTCTGACACCTAATTTCTTCCAAAAGTTAAGAGGTTTCGGGAACGGTCGAGCGAAGCTTATGCATAAAATTTCAAGTACATCTGTTGAATATTTTCTTCATAATGAACAGAACTGTAAAACCGACCCGCTAAAGAGTGCAATTGCCGAGGCTTGATATATCCCGTTGAAAGTTGACCAATCCGTGCCATAGTTACATATGAAATTTCATCAAAATCGGTTCATATCATAGGAAAGTGTGTTCCCACCGAAAATTCGATATGTAAAATTTGTTATCATCTCATAACCTTCCTATTGTATTCACAATGCGGTCGGTAAAAATGAAATACATACCTGTTTAGATAATTTTACGATGCTATATTCTATTTTTTTAATTGAAAATGCAATCTGTACAAAATCTTATTTGTAATTTGCAAATGAAATATTTCGATTTATTTCTCTTATTTACCATCTCTGTTTAAAATGACAGTCATAACGAAAAGGTGACGTGAATTTTCTGCTAAAAAAGATTTCAAAGGAAAACAAAATTAGTTCGTAAAATTTTAGTACACCTAAATTAATTTTTTCAATAACGAGTAAATAATTATACCTAATTCATTGTGTTATCTAATAATAATATGTACTAAAGTAAATCGTAAAATTTTATTTCGTGGGCTTCTACCTATAAAATAGTGCTCAAAATGGTTGATTTTTTGCAGACAATAATATGTATTTAAATTATTTGTTTATTAAAAGACACAGTTGTGAAGCACTAACAAATATTGGGAAATATTCTGACATTCACAATTTTATTATTTAATATATGACCCTAGGCTAATATTTTGGATGTACCAAAACTTGTATTTAATTATTAAGAACTAAAAGATGTGCTTTAACGTAGTAAAAAATTTTGAGTTTTATTTATGTGCACTCGAAATCGTAAGAAACTAAGTTTTCAAAGCTAAATTAAAAAAAAAGATAAAATTTTTGTGATAATTGTTTTTTAAGCTCTGTGAGCAAAATAAATTAAGTCTGACTTTAAAAACTCTAAAAGCAGAAAATAGTACTTACCAAAAATGTCTAATATAACAAACGAAACACCTGATGGTACTCCAATTATAGATCGCAACCCACAGTTATCTAACTTTTTTGCTGCAAATAAGAGCCACTTTTATCAAAATTCAGAAAATGGTAACGGTTATAGTCAAAATGATAAATTTGAATCTTCTGCGATTGATTCAAAAAAACTGATGCCTCATAATCTAATACCAAAGCAAAATATGGAGTTTGTTCCCTTGGATCAGTCATTTAGAAATCCACCTGATTGTGAAGATTTATGCCAAAATCATGCTGATAAATCAATAAATTTAGAGTCATCATCTTTAATGAAATTAAAAACATACTTATTGGCTTTGAGACCGTGGTCAATATCTGGAAGTCTGGTTCCAACAATTTTAGGATCTGCTTTAGCATATCGTTCCGAGTGGTCATCAAGTTTTAATTTTATAATATTTTTATTAACAATTCTTACTGTCGTTACTGTGCATTGTGCTGGCAATGTTGTTAATACGTACTTTGATTTTGTAAAGGGTATTGACAATCGTAAATCAGACGATAGAACCTTAGTTGATCACATTTTGACAAAAGATGAGGTAAGCGCATTTAAATATTAAAACATTCACAAAGCTACGCTATTTTTGTTACTTATAATTAATATTTATTAATCTACATTGTTATATAGCAAGTATTCAAATATAATTCAAATATAATTATATAAAATACTTTGAAAATCTGCAACCAGGCAGAAATCATTTCTAAATACATATAGTAATCCAATGCCCATTACAAAAGGCAATCCTCCATTTTATCTATTGCGTCTACAATATAATCTTACATTAATTTATTTACTATATGTGCTATATAGTATTAATTTATCTACTTTGTCTATTATATGGTAGAAAAACTATCTATATATCTACTCTGTTATATTATTATGAGTGTGTTTGCTTCGGAACATTAAATTTTTTCTATTAGTCATAGGTTGTTTATAAGAATAACTTTTTTTCTTAATATCTACATATATATTAAACACAATTATATTATTTGAAATTTTATAGTATTTTTGAATAATATTTCCTATATTTTAAATGTGCCAAATGTGAAATCAATGTTATCAAAAAACGTGACCAAATTTGAAAGCAATGTTATCAAAATGAAGCGGAGCCATGTCCAAGAGAGCCTTCATCGAGACCGTTGAACACCTTAGGGCGTCTCTTACGCCAAGGCACGCGAGGTGCTGCAGTTGTGTAAGAGCGGAATCCATGTTCATTTTTTTGATTTTTTCATTTTATTAGGTCCTTAAAATCTTGACATAGAAGTGGTTTTTGTGCTATATTTTCTGTACCATAAAACATTTTTCAACACTTAGTAACTTAGATTAAAGCTTGAGAAAGTAGCCCAAATTTTATTAGAGGATTTTCGAAGTTTTAAAAAAATTCGTACGAAATTATCGGGCTGAAAAATAACAAAAAAATAAAAGAAAAATAAAATTAAATTTTTCTCAAAGTTCGAATGCGTCGTATTCAGCATAAAATACAAGATCAAGCAACGTGTTTATTTTAAACCCTTTACTAGGCCTTTCAGAAACTATTTTTTTGTTTTTTGTTTCACAACTTATAATGCTATATGATATTATCTAAAACAAAAACTTTCTAAAGAAAAATATCCACAACTAAGGTTCTAACTCTACTGATTACCTGTCTTTAGCTTTATTCTTTATCTTGAATTTAGAATAACAGATTGTTTACGCCTTTTGGTGATGTGCTTAATGCTTTATCTAAGCAATGCTTCTTTGATATAATGTTTCAAAATATTAATAAAGGTTTACGTGAGAAGTGGTATTTAAATTTCACAGTCTACGATAATACCCTTGTAATATATACATACACATAAGTAATTATGAGCATTATTTTCTTTTATTATAAACGAAGTCTGTCTGTTATTCTAAATACATTGTACATATACATACGTTATATTGCAGCATTTTAAAAAGCAAGCAAATCAAAAACACTTCCATGTTCCTGTATAAAATTTGCTATAAAATTTTAGGTGATACAGAAACTTGCATTTTTTTTTAATTGCTTACTTTTTAAAATACTGCAACATATGTACAATGTATTGTTGTTTCTTAAATTAGTCAAGTTTAAAAGTATGTATGTGTATTATTTTGGAATAACCGATAAAACAATTTGAAAAAGAAATTACTTAAAAAATTTGTCTTTCCACTCGATTTCATAAACACTGAAGACTGGTGCCTTTGGCGTCCTTAAACATGCTAGTAGTAATAATAATAATAGTAAAAAGAAAAGAAAATTTAGTTGCACTTGAAATTTTTATGGGAAAGAGCTTTAATTTTAATAGGATGCAATATGATATTTTCGTTGCATTCAATTACTTCTTCCTGAACGTGGTTCGTCGGATATATTACTCCCCCATCGCTAAGATTTTCGTACTCCTGAGCAACTTCTCTAATTTCTTTCGGTTAAACATTCCGTGCGCTTATCACATTCTAAAAAGTTTAGTTAAAGCTCTTGACATTGTACACTTTTCCTAAATGCGTTCTATACTTAGTGTAATGTCTTTATATCTAACAAGTCCCAATACTCAATTTTTTTCCGAAATATTACGAATTTTTGGCTTCGTTGCTGGTTTTTTCTTTAAGTGCCACTGATCTTGTCATATTTTTCATTATTTTTTTCTTTTTTTTTTTACGTAAAAAAGAGTTTAATATTTTAAAAAATCTCAGGAAGTTATACACTTTTTTTAAAAAGCTTCCCATTTAAATTCTATTGCACGAAAAAGCAAGAAAGGTAGGAGGAAAGAAAAAATGATAAAAAATTTCAAATTCATATTTCAGTATGGTTTCAAATGTTAATGAGGAAGGATGTATGATTTTTCATGCACATTTTGTATTTCCCAATAAGGTAAGTTGAGTAGTGTCGGCTAACAAAAATGTTAGTAAAAGTAATATAGGTTGACACATTTCAACAATTTGAATTATCTCATTTCGATTATTTATACGTTACTTATAAAATTGTTTCAAATAATTTCAGTTAATCTTTAAGTTATTAAAAATAAATATGTATGTACCTACTTCCTATAAATTTTTATTTAAATAATTATTTTAAAACTATTTCAAACATGTTATAATGAGCGCTTCAAAAATTTTGCTGTGCTTTTTTTTCATTTGAAATTTTTTATCAATTTTTCTTTCCTCCTACCTTTCTTTCTTTTTCGTGCAATAGAATTTAAATGGGAAGCTTTTTAAAAAATGTGTATAATATCCTGAGATTTTTTAAAATATTTAATATTTCCTACTTCCAATAATTTTTTTTTTTAAATAATTGTTTTAAAACTATTTCAAACGTGTTATATTGAGTGCTTAAAAAATTTTGTTGTGCTCTTCTTTCATATTTTAGTAGCAGCTAAACAAGAGCAATCTATTTATAAAATGGCCCTGCCTGTTTATGAATCTTAATAGGAAACGTAAACGGACAAAAATTTACATTAGTACCTACTACTTGTCAAAAATAAAAAAGATATTCGAATCCACTCAAAATTGTATTATTGTTTTTTCCAAAACCATTTAAATATTTTTTTACTTAGGTAATATATTAAGTTAATAAAAATTTTTCTCAAATAAAAATTGAGGTAAAGAGCCTTATTCTAGTTGTCGAAGTAGAGCGAAAATTGTCGTTACGACTTGAATTTCATATTCTAAGCGGCGATCGCAGTGACAATCGTCGGGGAATAGCGGGAAAATGTGTTTCAGCCATATTCCAGTTGTCGTTCTGATGCGAGATATGTCGTAGTGAAACGACGTTTTTTGTCGAAAAGTATTTACAAGTGACAAGAAAGAAGGATACACCAAAAATGCAAGTTAAAGCAAAACAATTTAACAAAATCATAAAAAAATTAATTTTATACATAAATCAAGTCATAAAATATACAATTTAATTTTTGTTTTTAGCATTTATAAATTTGAAGAATTGGAAATTTCATGACAGGGCACGGCTTCTACGGGTACTCGTTTTCTCTCGAATATAGTCAGTAAATATACAAAGGCCTCCTATGGAAGTCTGTGATAGTTTATAAATCTGTGAATAAAATAAAATGTTTGCAACTAATTTACAAAAATTAGTTTTTGTAAATTAGTTGCAAACATTTAATTTTTTAATAGAAAAAATTTGGCAAATCCATTGGATTAGAGTTGTTGCTAATCTTAAATCTTTCGATCCTTAATTGTTGTTTTTTTTTTAATTTCATCACTACCGGAATGAGATGAATTCGTAAACCATAATGCAAATGACATTTTTTATTATTTAAAAATATAAGTATATACACTGAAAATTTTTTCTAGTTTGTATTTTACTCGCCGAAATTTCTTTTTAAAATGTATCAATTTCACTTGAAACGTTTCATTTTCGTTTATTTCTCGCAGTCACGTCACTCGACAACTAGAATACCACATTTCAAGTGATGTGTCAGCGACAACGACAAATGTCACGTAAGTGACGCGACAACTAGAATAAGGCTCTTTGAGCCAATGCAAATAATGACCTTTTAATATAAAGGTAAAAAAGTAGTAAAAATGGCTTTACAGTAGTATAGCAGTACAGAATGCTAAAATGTAGTAAAATACTACAATTGTAGTAAAATAACAACACTGATTGGGACTTGTTAGATACAAGGACATTAGTACGGTATTAATATGATTATACTAATGTCTTTATATCTAACAAGTCCCAATGCTAAGAGAGAAACTTAAAAGCACGACCTTATTTTATATGGTTTTTTTTTTAAATCGAACTCAGATCTTATAAATTTTTATCGAAATATTCAAATTTAATAACAAAAAAAAATACTTATAATAATAGTAATAATAATAACAAGAAAAGAACTTGAAATTTTTATGGGAAAGAACTCTAATTCTAATAGTTTGCAATATGGTACTTTCACTGCATTATCAAAAATATTACTTGATACTAAATATATTGTGAGAAAGATGTTTATTAGATATCAATAAAAAGAAGAAAACAAAATATGAAAAATGAATTTTGGGTTTTTTAATTGCTCGTGTAAGAAATTGTGGAAAAATTATTTTTATTTTTCAAGTAAAATTTATTTATGTATATTTTATTAGTTACTACAATTTGTGGAAGCGGATTCTATTATTATTTCAAGAACGTGGTTGGCTGCATATGTCACTTGCGCACATAGCCCGAAATACTGCTTAAAATTGTTTACGCATCTCTGCCCTGGAGAAGTGCATTTTTGCTGAAATTTCTTACCTCTCTTGTTGTCTGCAATGTAGTCGTTAACCGTGGTGCTGTCTATGTAATCAACTTACATATATAACATGCTTCATATATTGAACGAAATGAATGCTTCCCTCATCTATCGAAAAATCATTTAAGTTCATCAAATCATTTTAATTTTCTAACATATAGAACATTGCTTCAAAAACATCGCGCAAAATAATTTTATCAATGCTTTACATACATCACGATATAAACATTATACGTGATTTCTATACTATCATTTTGTACAATACACAGTAAGATGTATCACAAAAAATTAGTACATTTTTCGCATAATTCAGTACATAGTTCATTTTCAATTTGAATAATTATAGTATCATACCACTAGATATTAAGTGTTATTATATCACAATTTTTCGTATGAAGCGAGAAAAGAATTTGAATTATGGATTATTCACTTCAAACAAATCGGTTCGATTTTTTTATGACAAAATGTAGGACGAGAATAGGAGAGTGATAATAGCGATAGTAGTAAAAATAATATTATATTAAAAGTAATATACTTAGTAATAATAAAAACAACAAAACAAAATCAAAAAGTGTTGGATTTGCGCATTTTGTGTTGAATGAAATAAATGTTTGTTCGTTTTGTTCCGTTATATATAACTCTTACGAATTTCGAGTGATGGTGATAACTTGAAATGGGATGGAGATGGGAAAAAATAATCCTAACGAAAATTAAAATGTTGATTAGCAAAATGTGAAATTAAGAACATAATATTTTGAATATTTTTTGGGGGAAATGGGTTTCCCTTTGCTAGGGAAGCATAAATAAACTGTGTATAATTACTAACATAAATAACTATGCATCGACTGATGTTAAAGGAATTTTTTAAGTGAATTTAGTTTTGCTATGTCACGGAAAGGTCAACTTCTGGGATATGCCAGGATGCGGAAACTGTACTTTTTAACGGAACTGTACTTTACATTTTATATTTAAGCTTCGGTTGACAGTACAAGAAACCACATAACTTTTGAAAAGATCAGAGATACATGGCGAATTTACATTTTTACACATATAAAGAGAAATATCCAACTAATTTACTTAAAATTTAATACTTAAATTCAGATGGTTAAAACACTAAAAATTACCATATCTAAATAACTAATTGACGGAATTTCTTGAAGTTTTATTTCGTAACGGAAGTAATGATGAATCTTTCTTGAAGTTCGGGTAGTATAAAGTAAACCTCCACTAAGAACCAAACTCACGTTTTTCTAGGTATGTAAACTAAAAGCTTACCAGCCTTCTTAATATTTGGAAAAAGCTTTAATAATGTATTTTCATAATGTTGTGCAACATTTTTGCTAAACTATACAATACGCCTTGTGATCGATTATGAGCTGCTCATGTCAGTATTTTTTATTTTCAATTTATAGTTGTACATTCAATTCTAGGCCTTTTCATAAACCCATTATATCGCGATATATGGGGAGAACTGCGCTATATTTATTTTCATAAACAAATGTTGCTAATCAAGTTTGTTCATAAACATTGCTAACCTATCGCAAAAATATTTAAATTATCATGGCAAAAAAAAAAAAAATTTTGAAAAAAAGTGCTTATTAGTTTCACTCTGTCCGTCCGTCCGTCCGTCTGTCCGTGTGTCTGTTTACAAAACTTCTACACCCTTGAAGATAGAAAGCTGAAATTTTGTATGTATACAGATCCTTACTAGAAACTTATTTCCGTAGAACAAAATTTTTACCTATCTCCCCCCCTCTAGAAGTTATACCCCCCCAAAACCCTAAAAATGGCCTTTTTTAACTATTTGTTGCAATGAAACCATAAGCATTTTTAAAATTTTGCAAACACATAAAGGCAGCGGCTTGCTTCCCCTAGCGCGGTATACTATAGTTAAACTTTAGAAAAACAAAATGGCCGTTCAAATTTACCGTTATCTAAAGTCTTTTTTTTTCCAAATTTTTGAATTCGTTTTTCTTCTAGACCCCAGCCTGTAGAAGCTTGAAATTTTAGGGGCTTAAAGACATTAACAAATAGTTCATTTCGTTAGAAGGAATAGTTCATTTTTTTCCATCTCCACCCCCTCTCAAGTTATTGCCTCTTGAAATTTGTAAAATTTGAATTTTTGGCACCTTATATTTCCGAAGCCGCAAACGTTTTTAAATTTCTATAAACATAAAAAGCTAGCGGTAGATTCCATGACATTAAAAAATATAATTATTTTTCTTAACTCACACAATTAACTCTTAAAATCGAGCATTATGTTAACCTCTCTTTATATTAATTTTTGCTTTATTTCAAAGACTGCATGAATGCATCATCCTAAATATATGCAATCCTAGAAAGAGTTTTGTATATGAATGAAAATAATTTTTAGAATGTGTGATAGGTATACATAAATTGTATTTAAAAGCAGAATTTTCACTTGTTGAATGGAAAAGTGCTACAATACAAACCATTGGTTTGACTCAACTTTATTTATTCCATATTTTATTTATGAACCAACAATCGACATCTTTTTTTGGTTGAAGTCTTGACATGTATCTTTTCACAAAAATTTTATGACAAACAATTAAAATTTTTGAATACGTGTTAAATTTTAACTCGGTTATCTCATTGAAAAATATTAAGCTTTGTCCAGTGAATGAATTTTGTTTCTCTAGGAATTATTGTTTAATTTTTTGACAAGACATATTAATTCACGATGTATATTTACTTCGACGTTGTAAAAAAATTTGTAACAAAATATTAAATTTCCAGCATTAATGTTGCACAAATAACTTAATATCAAGGGTGAGCAAGTAGTGTTAAAGGTCTTGGAATGTGGCTTCTAGGAGTTTCTGAGGAAAAAAATAGTTTGAGCGAAAAATAGAGAACTCGGCTGCTGTGAATATATGTCAGACATAGAGAATTCAACTCTCTGTCTGACATATATTCATAGCAGCCAATGTATAGCAAAAAACTATTTATACTAAAATTATGTAGATCTTTTATTTGGAGAAAACTTTCGAGAACATATTGCTCTAACTGCAACAGTTTTGAAGCTGTTACGAATATGAGAATATTTTCAAAAGAGAATATTTTTATCTGATTTTCTCTAAACTTCCAAAACTATAATATCTAGATATTCAGAGATTACACCCCGAAGAAGCAATCCAGAGAGCTTTCACACCAGTTGCGAAATCACCCTTTATAAACATCAAATATATACATTTTTTTTGTAAAAAAGCAAATTAATTCTTTATGTTTTATAATTAATTTTCCTTTTTTTAATTTAAAATTTTTTTGCAGGTTGTGTCATTAGGCGCAATATTATACATGGCTGGCTGCATTGGTTTTATATGTTTAGCAATTATAAGCCCTGCTAAAATGGAACATTTAGCTTTAATATATTTTGGTGGTTTATCGTCATCTTTTCTTTATACGGGTGGGATTGGTTTTAAATATATTGCCTTAGGCGATTTAGCAATACTAATATTATTTGGCCCATTATCCGTATTATTTGCTTTCATGTCACAAACTGGCCACGTTGATTGGACGACCATATACTTTGCAATACCGTTGGCACTTAATTCCGAAGCTATACTGCATAGCAATAACACACGAGACGCTGAGAACGATAAACGTGCTGGTATTGTAACTTTAGCAATACTGATAGGTCGAACAGCTTCTCATGTATTATATGCGTTATTATTATTTACGCCTTATAGCATATTTGTTGTATTAGCTGTAAAATTTTCATTTTGGTTCGTTCTTCCACTAATAACATTACCACAAGCTTTCAAGATTGAAAAATTATTTCGTTGTGAAATAACAATGAGTCAAGTTCCACAACAAACGGCTAAATTAAATTTTTTTTTTGGTATTTTATATGTTGTGGCTTGTTGTTGTGCACAGAGTTTGCCAACGTTTAACAATGGAAAAAATTGAAATATAATAAAAAAGTTCATATGAACTGTTGTAAATTTTGTTTTTTTTTTTTTAATATTAAAGGAAATGCATAATACATATTATATCATCTTAAATTGAAAAAAATATACATACCTGCCGTAAGTACATGTAAATATATTTATATAATTTTGGCTTAAAGAACCAAAATAATTTAAAATTTATTTATTGTTTATTTTAAGTTGAAATGTTTTTAATTATTGTTTTTATAAGAGAGAAGTACAATAAATACTTTAAAAATTCTTTTGTTTACTTTATTTTAGCATTTGTATAAAAAATTGTGAACTGTAGCAAAAATTTTACGAAACATGGGTGTAGTAAATTAAATAAACGTATGCATTACATAGTGTTATTACAGTATACAAGGTTAAAATGATGGCACACGCAACCATCAAGGTAGAAGACATTCGAGCTTTTCGCACCATTCGTCGTGTGGAAATTTTAGTTTGATGCAGTCGTTTTTTTACATTAAATTCTTTATAATTACAAAATTGATTTTTGTATTATATACGTAATAAAATATCATACCAATAATTGGTTTTTTAATAGCAGATTAAAGAGATTGCTCAGCTCCTGAAGTTGAAGATGACTCATATTAAAAGAATGTGGTTCCCTAACTAAAAGAAAAATAAAAGCAATTAATGTTGATTGTCTAAACCTTGAACATGGATTAAATGAATGGGCTTCAGTGTTTTTAAAGACAAAAATTTTGCTCCACTCAAAAAAGCAATAATCCAGCTGAAAATATAAAAAGTGGTGTTAATGTAAAACAGCAATGCATAATTAATAAAAATTAAGGTTTATAAAAACAAAAATGCAAGTTTTATATAATAATTTATAGAAAGAAAGCTTCTTATTTTTTAGTGATTTAATAAATCACTAAAATTAAATCGATGAAATTTTTTCATGTTTTGGAAACTGAAAGTCCTTGACTTCTAAAACGCAGTAAAAAGGTTAAATTTACAATGTATCATATTCCAAAATGCATATTGAAAGCTACTGACTTGTAAGATGTCATAATATGAAACATTCTAAAATGTATCGAACACGCAGATTAAACATAGCTGTTTGCTTTCTGTAGACATGTCATAAAAAGACTAGCCAGAATTGCTTATTTGCAAATTAATGTATTTTTTCTTTGTAGAAAAATATACATACTCTGGTAAGAATAATTATGAGATTAGTAAAATATTTTAAAATATTTTATGACATACCAAAGAAAATGCAAAGGCCAGAACAACAAATTATTAAAATTGAATTACTAAGTCTTTAAAAAAATCTGTTAGTATTCTTTTTGTTATAATTAATTGTTTGTTTACACGGGAAATTATTTTCAAACTTTTAAATATAAAACAATCTTTTTCGTAACAAATATTACAAGTAAATTTAAATATCAAAAAACGTATAATTGTGTACATACATACATATTTTGTGTAATGTTTTTTATTATTACCTTGATATTCCAAAATGTAGCGAAATACTCCATACTTTCTTTCTTTCTTTCTAAAGCTTTTCGTTTGTGTAAAATTGTATTTAGACAGTATTTAAACTGTATTACAACTTTTTATAATGTGTTTTGGAAATCATGGAGTGTTGTTATAACTTTTGTTTTTGAAATAAAGCTTCATACCCTGACATAACGAAAATATCAAGGCGTGCGCCCTTCTTTATTACGAATGTATTTATAGCAAAATGACACTTCTGGACAGTGCTGATAAATAGATTACCCCAAATATCTCAATTTGAATTTTGAAGTTGAATTGAAAGAAGTAGTCACAATATAAATTTGAAATATCACAATTTATCACAATTTAAATTTGAATCCAATCACACTCCAAAAAGAAAAACTGAGTTTTCTATAAACAAAATTGAATAAAACTTATCAGGCAATACAGAGAATTAAGTAAATTTTGTAATAGTGCTTTTATAATGTTATAATCAGTATAAAAAATACGTCGCTTTAAGTTGTCCTCTATATAAATACCATGCATCTAATAGTACATGGACAGCGCTAGCAAATAAAATTTTTTTAAGCCAATATCTTGCTTTTTACTTTGCTAAAAAATTTTTGAAAAAAAGTATTAATTAGTTTCACTCTGTCCGTTCGTCCGTTTGTCCGTGCGTCTGTTTAAAATACTTCAACACCCTTGACGATAGATCTTTACAAAAAACTTACTTCCGTGGAGAATTTTTGCCAATCCCATCCCTCTAAAACCCTAAAAATGCCATTTTTTAACTATTTATTACAATGAAACTATAAGCATATTTCAAATTTTGCAAACACACAAAAGTTCTGGATTGCTTCTTCTAACGCGGCATACCATACTTGAACTTTAAAAAAAAAATGGCCGTTTAAATTCAACGTTCTCTAAAATCTCTAGCCCCTCTCAAGTTATCGCCTCTTAAAGTTTGTAAAATTTGAATTTTTGGTGCCTTATATTTCTGAAGCCGCAAGCTTCTTCAAATTTTTATAAAGGTAAACAGCTAACGGTAAATTCCATGCCATTAAAAAAGAAATTAAAATTTATATAATTATATAAATTTTTAGCTTGAAGATTGAATAAATTGATCATGCCAAACATATATTCGAATATGAATGAAAGTAATTTTAATAATGTAGTTCAACGATAGATTGTTTCTAAAAGCAGTATTTTCTTTATTTTCAGTATTTGTCTTCATTTTTTACAACAAAAAAAAAGCTGCCAGAAACAGTTTGAAAATATGGTTAGAATATATGAATGTAGTTAGCAATTTAAGCCAGTTATTTCAATAAAAAATTCATAATTATGTATATATATCTACTTCTCAGGTGATAAAAAGTACGGGTACTTCTAGAAGGGCTAGAGACATTGGACAAAAGGCATTAGATAGGGTTTTGCCTCCAGGGTCCCAGAAAAATCTGACATTGGAACTTTTTAGCCCCGAAATAGCTCTATTTTAAGATTTTCTGAAAAAATTTTTGTATAACAAAAGCACGTTTTTCTTTTATACTTTTTATAATTAGAAACACAAACCACGAAATAAATGATATGTTTTACGTTATTATTAGAAACACAAACCGAGAAATAAATAATACGTTTTACGTTATTATTAAACACACAAACCGCGAAATAAATAATATTTGAAAATATAATGATCTCACATATTTTTGGTTCGGAAAATCGAATTAATCTACGTAAATAAATGTCAGCTTTTGTCAAAAACATGAGATGTTTTGTGGCGTCTGAATAATAATGCTTCATTTGTTGTTGTTTTCAATATTTTCGTCACCAAGCTTTAAAAAAATATATATACAGAATATAATATATGTATGTACGTATGTAGTTAGAATTTTATTTTTATTGTTCCAAGCGAAAAACTGTAAAATGCTAAATTTTAATACATTCATATGTACATACATATATTTGAATAAAAAATATTATTTTATTTATGCCTAAACCTTTTCTTTATTTGAAAAATTCTTTATGTATATTACCCACATGATTTAATAATTATTATATGTTTCTATATGCCAAACCACAGTTTTGAATATTATTCAATTCATATAGGAAGCTTAAAAAAAATTAGTTACAAAGCTTTAAAAAAAATTTACTTACATACATATTTATGTACTTAACTATTAAAGCCATATTTTTTTGGAAATTTTCTTAAAACTTTTATAATAATATTTGTTATATATTAAAAAAAAAATAAAACAAAAAATTTGAACAAAATAAAAAAAAAATTTTAAAATAATCTAAAAAAAGAAAAATACGACAACATCCAGGCACGCATTGATCCAATAACCTTCTGGCTATCAGACTATCACGCTACCCACTAGGCTACGCAGTACCTTGAATTTCCCTTAATAATTCTATATTTTATTCATATTTCGTATAACTCATCAAAAACCATCATATTTTACATTATATAGCTACTTCTCAGGAGGTAAAAAGTACGGGTACTTCTAGAAGAGCTAGAGACATGGGACAAAAGGCATTAGATAGAGTTTATCTTAATGAAAATTTCTTCATGCAACTGCAGAACAGATGGATGACGTAATCAAAGGAACAAGTTAAAGGCAGAAAAATTCATTAAAAAAATTTTTTCTTCTCGAACTGGACTCGAACCAGTGACCTACCGCTTTCTAGGCGGACGCTCTACCAACTGAGCTACAGAGGCATGAAGAAATTGCCGACGAAATGTTCTCTACATTGCTTATACTGTAATTCACATGATTACTAAGTATTTGTTTTGTTTACATTGATTGCTACACACAATCTACTACTGAAACACACAATAACAAGAACATATGTATTTATAGGATTGTGCCTATTGCACTAATTAAATTATGAATTTTACTAATACAACATCATAGTTGCGGAATTAATATGAATGTGCTTATAACACTACTAATTTATCTTAATGGAAATTTCTTCATGCAACTGCAGAACAGATGGATGACGTAATCAAAGGAACAAGTTAAAGGCAGAAAAATTCATTAAAAAAATTTTTTCTTCTCGAACTGGAGTCGAACCAGTGACCTACCGCTTTCTAGGCGGACGCTCTACCAACTGAGCTACAGAGGCATGAAGAAATTGCCGACGAAATGTTCTCTACATTGCTTATACTGTAATTCACATGATTACTAAGTATTTGTTTTGTTTACATTGATTGCTACACACAATCTACTACTGAAACACACAATAACAAGAACATATGTATTTATAGGATTGTGCCTATTGCACTAATTAAATTATAAATTTTACTAATACAACATCATAGTTGCGGAATTAATAAGAATGTGCTTATTACACTACCAATTTATCTTAATGAAATTTCTTCATGCAACTGCAGAACAGATGGATGACGTAATCAAAGGAACGAGTTAAAGGCAGAAAAATTCATTAAAAAATTTTTTTCTCCTCGAACTGGACTCGAACCAGTGACCTACCGCTTTCTAGGCGGACGCTCTACCAACTGAGCTACAGAGGCATGAAGAAATTGCCGACGAAATGTTCTCTACATTGCTTATACTGTAATTCACATGATTACTAAGTATTTGTTTTGCTTACATTGATTGCTACACACAATCTACTACTGAAACACACAATAACAAGAACATATGTATTTATAGGATTGTGCCTATTGCACTAATTAAATTATGAATTTTACTAATACAACATCATAGTTGCGGAATTAATAAGAATGTGGTTATTACACTACTAATTTATCTTAATGGAAATTTCTTCATGCAACTGCA